TTTTTTTTTTTTTTTTTTTTTTTTTTTTTTTTTTTTTATCACTATCGCTAAAAAAAAGTTAATGCCATTAGCTGTGGATAACGTGACATTAAACTGTATTTTGTTTTTCATTTTAGTTGCAATACTTGCATTATTTGTACATTTTTGTCTCTACACTATTATTTGTACATTTTAGTTTGTATACATGCAATATTTATATATTTTGGTCCCTATAATGATACAATTTTTATCTTTTAGTCATTATCTTTAGATATTACTTGTTTTTGTCCGTACATTTGTGAACAATTGTTTTTCTTTTCTTTTTTCAGTAACTACTTGTTTTGGTCCCAAAATTTAGAAGATATTATCATATATCTTTGAAACTAAGAAATTGTCTAAAGTCCTTAGAATGTTAATAAGTTCATAGTTTAAACTATTTACTATTATTTTAATCCCTGAATATATTATTATTAATTTAGTCACACTTTTTTTTTAGCTTTTGACTAATTTGATTGTAAATTTGCACATTTAGGAACATATTCAACAATTTTTTTACTTTCATGGACTAATATAACAGTGGATTCCAAATTCATGGACAATTTGGATGTTTACACTTTTTTTTTTTTAGTCATACGAACACATTTTCCCATTCTTCATCCTCTTACTTTTTTTTTTTTTCCTTTTTCCTTTTTACAACTTCTATTTCTTTAAAATCTTCTTACATAAACTAATTTTCATTGACACTATATTGTATTTTGAGGAAGTAGAGTTCAAATATATTTCATGTTCAAGACAAAGTAACTTGTGAATAGTAATTTGTGTTGACACTCCTTAAAATGCCAAAGACTTACTACATTTTGTTTAACTTGAATGTATATTTTTCTAGATCACATAATGCTTTTGTCATGCTTCAACGTCAAAAATTGCCTTTGGAGGTGATGCTGGGCAACATATTTTTAACTTTCAATTTTTTGGTGTTTTAAAAATTGTCAAACAAATTTTGTTAGTTTTACAATATTGCTAGTTTAAATTTTTGGATGGTGTTAGAGAACCTACAAATGAAAAAATAACAAGCAAATTGATAACAAAAAATGAATCAAAAAGCAATTGCTAATAGAATAACGACACAAATATCTAACCATTTGATGCAGGAAGATAAAAATCATGCAACAAAAGGTTTAATATGTTATATGTCCAATAATTTTGTGTGGTAACATTAAAACGAAGTAGCAACCTCCACCACTATAAGGAGTGTCAACACAAATCGCTACTCGCACACTACATTATCTTGTCCTTGAAGTACTTTAGAACCTTTAACCATAAGACTTTGACCTAAAGTCAATGAGAATTAGTTAATGTAAAAAGACTTAAAAGAGACAAAACTCACAAAATATAAGGAAGAGAGTTGTTGACAAGGAAAAAACAAAGAAGGAAATAGAAAGGGGTTAGAAGAAAGGGAAGGTTAGGAAAGTATATAAGAACCAAAATATATAATAAGTAGATTCAAAATGTAGGGACTAAGAGGTAAAGGTTAGGAAAGTATATAAGAACCAAAATATATAAATAATGCAAGTATACAAATTAAAATATAAAGCCCAACCCATAATGTCACGTTAGTGACATGTCATCGCTACACGAACGCTTAGTAATGTTAACTTTTCTAGCGACAAAGACTAAAAGAGATTTGAAAGTGCTTTTACATGCACTAAAATAGATAGTTTTTAAATATAAGGATTAAATGGTAAAATTTTTGTCACTATGAGACCTTTCTACTCCAAAACGTTTTAATAAAATAAATAGTAAAATAAGGTGTATTATAAGGAAACTAACATGCAAGGTAAAAGGATTCATGTCGCTTAGTTCACTATATGAAACATCATGTACTTTAATTAATAAAAGAAGTTTTGGAAAGAAAAAAAAGGAAATAACTAGGCATAAAACCACTTTTACATGTCCTCAAAAAGAATCTCAAAAACTAAACAAGATAAAATAAATTCTAAAACCTAAACCAAGGTTCTCATGATCAAATATAAGAAAAAGAAGTTGTCTGGCCATGCATGTTATCCAATTCTTAACCACAGTCGTGCATATGTGAAATTGTGACCTTGCTTGTTGTTGCATCATGGATACCTTTTGCTCCATTGTTATACTAATTAACAAGTTATCCTCTTTTGACTTTGTTTCCTTTTGCAGATATGGATAATTTAGGTGCTTTTGGCAAGCAATCATGTAATGGACCACACACTTGTGGGGCTAGATCTTTAATATCTGGTTAGGGTTGAGCATCCGTTGATGCCCCTGTCCCCCTTGCTTACACTGACTAGTACAGGATGTTCTCCCACTTCTAGTGGCATCCCACCCATTGTCTCCACATGACAGATTTACAACATTGTGGATTGCTCCCACAAGTTTAATAGTATTTGGCAAATGTCAGTTGGCTTAATGTGGCAATAAGTAATGCACCCACCCTTAGAGAGCCCACATTGTAGTTCCTATCCATCTACAAGGAGTGGGTTGTAGATGGGTGCAGGAGCCTTTTAAAGATGAAGATGAGGATGTTAACCCCCCCTTCTCCTACTATTATGATATCACTTTTCATGGAGGAGTAGAGTGGGAGATAAAACAACAATTTAAGTGAAATTTTTCAAAAGGGTTTAACCATTTTCCAAACACCTAAAAGGATTCACATTTTTTGAGACTTTGGATCTCCACTAAATCCTACAAGATATAAAACAATAATTTAAGTGAAATTTTCATCAACTCTTTATAAACTAACTAATTTACACAACTCATTTGAATTTTGTAATATTTTAAGGGTGAAACACAATTTTTTTTTTCAAAAATAGTTAAATACGTGTCAAAAGAGTTAAGTCATTTAGGTAAAATTGACACTTATCAGAAGACTACATGAGTTCATAATTTCTTGAACAAAAGAAAAAATTCAAAAAATATTTTTATGACAACCTAAAAGAAAATTTATTATATTTCAATAATTGTTGATTAACACAAGTGAAAATGTTTATCCCAAGAAAATGAATGACTATCTTAAGTTGTTGATCAGAAATCTTCAATTGAAATAATGTTTCTCAGAAGACTTGTCTTGAATACCTAGTTTTGAAAACTTGGAGCGAGACCTACTCAAAATGTTGAGATTGTTGAGTTTATTGAAGATTGTTGAGTTAATTACTGAGTTAATTACCAAGTCAATTACTAAAGCCCTTCTTGAAATTTTTTATGAAGACTGAAGAAGTTTTAGTTTTGATGATGATAGCATTAGATTTGTATATATTTATTTAGTTTGCTTCATTCATTTTTTTATTTCATGGCCTATGTCGAAAAGGATAATGTATTGCTTGTTATTAGACATAGGCTTGGATGTGTTTGCTTATTATGATGAATTAATTTCAAAATTACATCTTGTTTTAGAAAACATAAAACTCATATTTCAACTTAATGTTTCTCATTTCATGTGAAAACACAATGTAAGAAATTATAATGTGTTTTGACATAAAATGGAACTTGGTTCATTCAAAAGAATTCATAATTAAGTTAGGTAATAGATTACCATGTGAGGTAATAGATTATTGAAACTTAGTTTTGAAGTGGAATTCAACATCTTCCCTATGATAAACAATTACCTATTCAAGTAGTTTATTACCATAATGACTTTTGAGTAAAAACAAGTGAAACAAGTTGAAAAAGTATCGAGATAATCAATTACCAACTTTAGTAATCAATTACCTCTGCTGAAAATTAAGTTCTATGGTTTCTGGGACTCGAGATAATCGGTTACCCGAATCAGTAATCGATTACCTCTTTTCTGGTTTCTTAGATTTCAGTTCTCATTAAAAACTGGTAATAGATTACCTGATATTCGTAATAGATTACTACTGTTGAGTTTTTAATGTTGAAATCTTATTTTCTCTATAAATATAACTCTTTTTGAAAACTTAAAAAAAGAATGACATATTTGGTTAGAAAGATCAAAGAGTGGTGTAGATAAAAACATTTTCAAAAATCTAAAAATCATTTTTGAGAGAAGATCAAATATTTTCAGAACAATTCAAGAGCAAAGAAACTCGAAAAAGATCTTATCTTGAAAGAAGTTCAAGAAATTAATTCAAGATTACTGAACAATTCATTGTGAAAGATCAATCTGTACTACAAGTGTATCTTTTCTGATCTTGTAACTCTTGTTTGTATAGTTGGATATGCTATGGTATGTGATTCTTTGAGATAAATCTCATGAAAGAGTGAAAGAGAAATCTTGAGATAGGTTTTTTCAAGTGGATTCTTGAGGTGCAAGAATTATGGAGATTGTATAATCTTGTGGGATTAAAATTAGGTGATTATATTTTTTGATTATAATATTGCTTGTACATGGTGTTTGTAAAGAATATTATAGTATAAAGACTGAATTTAGCGGGGAGCTAAGTCTGAAACTAGATGTAGGCCTTTGTATGGTTGAACCAGTATAAATTACTTTGCAATTTCTCTCTTTACCTTCATATATTGTTACAATTCATATTGAATTGATAAAAAGAATTCAAAATTGTAAAAGAAACATTTTCTTGAATATTATAGATTGTTGATTTGTGAAATTTGATATAATATATGCAATCTGGTAATAAAGTGAAGGAAGGTAATTACTAAAATCAATTTGGATTACAACATCTATTCCGTTGTGTAATAATTCTGATATACTTTGTATCTTGTTTGGTTTTTACTCTAAATGTGTTTAGTAATAAGTTGTATGAGAAAGAAAGAAATTAGCAAGAAAGCAAGAAAAACCCTTAGAAGTCGTCTAAGCGAAAAATCTATTCAACCCCCCTTTCTAGATTCGTGTTCTACCCGGGACCAACACAAAAGGCACCTCATTTGTAAAGACTGGTAGAAAATTGGAAAGTACAATGATGTTAGCAGTAAACATACAGAAAATAAAGGCTCCAACATATTTATTTCCTATGTGCCTATAAAGGGAAACAAAATTCTCATTTTGAAGCAAGCAAGAACAAAGAAAAAATAGAGATTACTCAAGCTTAGCAAGGTAAATCCTTTGTTTCTTCATCCTCTGGTTTTTCTAAGATATCCACTTCATATTGTAACTCTAATTTGTAGTAGAAAAGATGCGCGAAATCTTCTTTAGTGAAAGCTCCATTATAGGAGATTTACTTGTGGTCTTTGTAATCTACAAGAGCATAAGAAATTCATTCCTGTAAACACTTCCTACCAAGAACGGAGAGTGTAGTGGTGTAAGAAAGGAAAGTAAATCACAACAAGTGTTTTGTAGTCTTATAGTAAGTGGTTGTTAGGTTGTCTTTCTCAATAGGTGATTGAGTGAAGTTTCTTAACAAGTGGATGACTATCATTGCTAACAACAGGTGGCTATATAACAATTGTTTGTATCAACAGGTAGTTGAATTATTGTAGTAGTTGGTTGTGTTCATAGTGAAAAATTCCACAAGGTTGTGTGGGGACTAAATGTAATTTAGTAGGAGTGAACCAATATAAATGTTATGCCTACTCTCTTTTTCCTTATGTATTTTACTTTTTTATTTGGATTACTTCATTTACTATTTTATTGTTACATCCTCTATTTTATAAACAAGTAAACTCAAAAACTATTTTTAAAAAAATACACTAAGTATCAAAACTAATTATTTTCATACAACTTGTCTTCTAAGAAACAAATTTAAAAAGGAATAATTCTTAAAAGGAAACAATTCAAACTCCCTTCTTATATTCTAACACTCACTTCACTAATAGTAACCTTATTTATTGAACAACTATTTTTTGTAAATTAAACCTTAAACATAAAGCTTCGTAAAAGTCATGTAATGATACAATATCATCAAGTTATGAAGCAAATATAACTAATGGGGAGTAGCAAAAATGAAACATAAAATAAGACATATAAAGTTGAGTGATTAATTATGTCATTGCATGACATTTATGAAGCTATGTCTTTAATTTATTTATTTATATTTTTATAATCACTAATATATTCGTTATAATTTTTTTCTTACTCAATATTAGAACATTTATTGTATTTAAAAGTTAAAATTTTTATACATTAGGTACAAACAGATTCTAGTACTTATAAAATAAGTTTGTTTTCATTTTAGTCCCCTTAATTTTAGTTATCTTTGTTTTAACCCTTTTAAATTTTAGTTATTTTTGTTTTAGTTCTCACAAACATTAGTTGTTTTAGTTTTGGTTCTCTCAAATTTTCTTCCTTATAATTTTCTAACTTTTATATTTTGGTTCCTATAGTGCTTTGATTTTTTTATTTTTATTTTTAGATTTAACGGTCAATTTAAAAAGGAGTAAAAACAAATTAAAACACCCTATTTTATAGGGATGGAAAAGTTGTTTAAGCTTTAAGGATTAGATAAATAAAATTTAATATATATATATACAACAATTTGTTGAACAGTGTAACTTCACTATGAGTACAAAATATTCAATCCCTCTTTATACATGGACAGCGCTTTCCTATAGAAGTGCTATCCAAAAGTTTTGTGTTCCTTTCGGCAATATTTTCATTCCAAAACGCTATATTCAGTGTGTTATCTAAATCGTATTTTTGATACACTGAAGCTACTAAAATGAACAAAATTATGCATTGGTAAAAAAAAATAACAATATTCACTTATTTTCTTGTAGTTCTTTTTCTAATTGCACAAATTTCTTCATTTCACGAGTAATGAAAGAAACTCAACTCTTAATGTTGACTTTATACCCTGGATTTTAAAGTGATTATTGAGTGTTTCTAAGATGGAATTCATGTAGTTTTGATTTTAAGTAGCATTTCGATTCTAGCTAGGTGTACATATACATTCCTAATTAATTAATAGGTATGTAAAACTTTTTGCTTTTGTTGCAATCCAAAAATGACATATATTTGAGACAAAAACAGTAGCTTTTTAGTCCAAGTTATATCGACCAAAATTCATATACATTATAATATATACATTCCTAGGATTTTCCATTTCATGTTTCGACACACCTTACTATGTAGTTAAGATGCCTTGTTTGGAAACTACTTTTTATTTATTTCGCTGACTTATAGCAGGCCTCAGAGATAGTATATATATCTACACTCTCCCGGTTAGCCATGCACCCAACAATCAAGTTTCGAACTAATTAATAAATCACTGAACCATGGCTAAAACACAAACTCCTTTTCTTGCTCTCATGATTTTCTTCTTTTTTGTGTCGTTACTCATCACTGTGAAGTCAGGGTCAGTTTCATTCAGCTTCTCCAAATTCGGAGCGGGACAAGAATCCGAAATTGGTTACCTTGGCGATGCGCGTCCATTAGGTGGTGCAATACAATTGACAAGAAGAGATAATGGAATATTTGGCATTCCCATTCTTCGCCAAAACAGCGTTGGTCGTGCACTTTACATTCCACCCATTCGCCTTTGGGACAAAACCACAGGCAAACTCGCTGACTTCGAAACTCAGTTCTCCTTTGTGGTTGATACCCTTGCTTCACGAATCCACGCTGATGGCTTCTCCTTTTTCATCTTACCATTCGAAGACCCAAGAATTCCCAAAAACTCATCTGGGGGATACCTTGGACTCTTCAGTCCCGAAACTGCTTTCAACTCAAACAAAAACCAAATTGTGGCTGTTGAATTTGACAGCTTCGGGAACGAGTGGGATCCCAAACCTGTAGCCGTTGCTCCTCACATTGGAATTGATGTTAACTCTCTTGAATCCGTGAAAACTACGGATTGGCCTATTAATTCTGTGCCTCGAGGTTTAGTTGGAAATGCTTTCATTAGTTATGATTCCAAGACTAAAAAATTGAGTGTCGCGGTTGGTTATGTTACTCCAGCACCCGTTATTGTTGATCTCTCACAAACCATTGATTTGAGGGATGTTCTGCCAGAATGGGTTAGAATTGGTTTCTCTGCTGCCACGGGTGATAACGTTGAAACGCATGACATTCTTTCGTGGTCTTTCACTTCACGTGTTTAGGTGTTTCTGTAATAAGAAGAATAATACTATAATAGAGTGATGTAAGGGTCTTCAGATGTCGTGTCCACAAGTTTGCAACCTGAGTACGTGTTTTATGGTTTTGTACTGGTGTTTGTGTGTTTCCAAAATAAGGACAAGCTTCTTTACTAAATTAATAACTTTTGCTTTTTCTTTTGTTTAAATTTCGGTGCATGCCTGTGAAATTATAAGGAAAGGGTATTAGTAAGTTTTTTTATTTAGAGCTTTTTAAAAGACTAATGATACTGCTTAAATACTAATTTATTAATGAAAAATTAAGAAAGAGGATGATTTTTTTTTTCTCTGTATATATGACTGTTTTTAAAAAGTAGTATCTTCAAATTTTGATATATATTTTATTTTAAAAGAAAAAATAAAACATATCCTGCTATTGACCATTATTTTCATTAGAAAATGTAATACTAAAAGAAAAATAAAACAAATAAAAGGGTTACTTTGGTCCATAAATTTGAAAGATAATATCACCTATGTCTATGAAACTAAAAACAAAAATCAAATGTCTATGATTGTACAAATTAATAATAACACCAGTCCAAAACTAAAAATAAATAAAATTGTATGATTGGAACAATATTGATATATATCAACGAATTAAAATGATTGTATGTAAATTTATTAACTTCTTTGACATTCAAGAGATCTTTTTATTATTTTAATTTTAGAAAATAATGTGACATTTTTTTTATCAATAGCAAATAAACATTACACAATTAAAGAAAACCAAACTAAAGTTGAACAAAATAGACACCCATGACACTTGCTAAAAGCACATGAGACAATTGCACTAAACAAGCATCTAGAAAACAAAAGCTTTAGTCGAGGATGGTTCTTGTTTAGTCAACTAGTCCACAAAGCTCACTACTAGAAAAATAATCTGCGAATTTTTCTAAAAAAAAATATTCGCAGAATTTTTTTGTAAATTTTCTTGCAATAATAATTTTACAAAAAAATTTTACGAATTTATTTGAAAAAATAATTTACAGATATTTCTTACAAATACTTTATGAAAAATAATCTAGAAGAAATTTTTGCAAATTTTGCTACAATTTTAATGATCATAGAAATTTTTTTCCATGAGAAAAATTTGCAAAAAATATTATAAGAATTTTATTTTGTTTTTTTGCAGATTTTCTTGCAAAAATAAATTTGCAAGTAATGTTTACTAAATGGAAGAAAAATTTCACAGATAACTTTTCCTGCGAATTTTCCTACCAATTTTAATTTGCAGGAAAAATAAAAAAATTATTTAAATTTAGGTTAAAATACTAATTTGGTCCTTTATAATATTTTTTTGTTTCAATTTAGTCCCACTTTAATTTTTGGTTTCAATTTGGTCCCAAATAATTTAAATTATTGCAATGTCAGACTTCCGTCCAAATTATTTAAACGAAGTTAACTGTTGGCCACGTGAATATCACGTAGATGCATAGGTGAATGCCAAATTTCTTAAATACACCTAAAACTAGAATGGTCCGTTCTGAAACCAAAACGACTCGTTCTGAAACCAGAATGGCCCGTTCTAGTTGCACATGTTGTGTGTTAATTTTGCATCTAGAACAGGCCGTTCCAAATGCAAATTTAACACACCACGAGTGCAGCAGAATGGGCCATTCTGAAACCAGGACGAGCCGTTCTGGTTTCAGAACGGCCCATTCTAGAACGCCAACCACATACGTACGTTCAACAAAATACCGTAATGTGATTCAAAAATTGAAAATAAAAATTCATAACATATCATAAATTCAAAGATAGAAATATGGTTCAGAAACTGAAAACAAAAATTCAGAACATAACATATACTAAAAAAGTTCAAAGAAATTACTAAGAAGGGAAATCATCTAGATAACGCTGAAGTTGCCAATAATACATCTTATCCACCATATAACATTGAATGGCTGATAGGATATCAATATTATCTACCTATACATGTGGTTGTGTGGTGAAATGTTGGTCATTTGTATTCTCTTCCTTTACTTCAGGTTGTACCTCCTCAAGAACAGGTTGTTATTGTTGGGGTACATCGTCAATGACTTCAAGGGGAAACACCATGTCGTTTCATCCTTGACTGTATAGTGTCAATTTGGTAGTAAGTGATTCACTCTAGTTTGACTAACAATGAAATAAAACCTGCTACCATTGTCCTTAGTGATACACTACATTGTCCTTAATGGATACACTGAATAGCCCAAATATTTAGCAATTGAAGTTATCAATCCCCATTGACAATATTACCAAATCCAGTGTTTGAAATGCTTTGTACCTTGAGTCTTTTTTGTTGCATGATTCACAACCGTGAACTATAATCATCGATCGTTTGTGTTTGGCATTTTGGAACCAAAATGGCCCGTTCTGGTTTCAGAACGGGCCGTTCTGGTTCCTGGTGTATTCAAGAAATTTGGCATCCACCTATGCATCCACGTGGCATCCACGTGGCCAACAATTAACTTCGTTTAAATAATTTGGACGGAAGTCCGACATTGCACTAATTTAAATTAATAGGGACCAAATTGAAACAAAAAATTAAATGTGGGACTAAATTGAAACAAACAAATATTATAAGGGACCAAATTAGTATTTTAACCTTAAACTTATAAGTTTAATATTTTAAAAAAACTTCAAGTCCCACATCGATTTAAAATAAAACAATTAAGAAATTTATAAGTTGGGACAACACTTACCTTATTACAAGTTGATTTGTATGGTTGAGTGTTAGGTTTATAATCTACAATCTTAGAGTTTAAAAGATTATGTTGCAGACGAACCAACCAACCTTGATTAAAAGGAGCTCGAATATTAGCAATAAGTGTTGCATAAGGATGAAACTTTTGTATTGATATCTTCAACAAATCAATAGTCACCAAAGATTCAGATTCGAGGATAATAGTACAAGAAAATGAAAATTTTGCGACGATTATATGGCCTACATTACGATGGTTACAATTGCAGCAAAGACAACATTGCGACGGTTTGGGAACTGTGACGTAGCAAGTTGGTGTTTTAGTAGCCCAGAACGGGCCGTTCCCAATCTGGAACGAGCCGTTCCAAGCTATTAAAATGACCAGTAAATCGTAGCTGCGAACGGGCCATTCTGGAGGGAGAACGGGCTGTTCTGGTTGGAAAACGGGCCGTTCCGGAGGGAGAATGGGCCGTTCTAGAAGGGAGTACGGGCCGTTCTGGTTGAAGAACAGGCCGTTCTGGATGAGTTCTAGAAAGGGCCGTTCTGATTTCAGAACGGGCCGTTCTGCATGTAATTTTTGTACGTGTTGAGGAGGTGCAGAACGGGCTGTTCCGGTTTCAGTACAGGCCGTTCTGGCCACTCTGAAATGTCTATAAATAGGGGCTATGGGCAGTTGAGGGGAGGAGGTTTTTTTAGAGAGAAGTTCTAGAGAGAAGGGCTCTGGACTGGAAAGCTGACTTTTGAAGGATTGAAGTTCTGGGTTAAGCTTCGGAAAGGGGATTCCGCTTCTTGGCTATCCTGATACAATCTTCAGGTAAGGGAAGCTAGTTGAAGTTAAGTTGATAAGTTGCTATAGCTTTGGACATGTTTATGTTGTAAAGTGGTTGATTATGCTAACTAATGTTGTTAATGCTGTATGATGAAAAGTCGAGTTGTGAAGTATGTTGTTTATGCTGTTAATGATGTAACGCTGAGCCGTACTGTATGATGCTAATGCTGAATTCCATTATTTAGCTGATTAATGATGAGTTGTATTGTGGGATGTTCATGCTGAATCATGATATTTAAGTCGTTTTGTATAATATTGAGCTGTTTTGATGAAAACGGGTTTTCGGGATTTCCGGGGTTTTGATGAAAATCTTGAGGTTTTCTTGATTTTGGCTGCATGTGGGTAAAGCTGGGATTTTTGGGTTGTTTGATGAAAATGTGATGTTTTGGGCCGATGGCATGTGTTTGGAAAGCTGATTTGGTGCAGGTTTATAAGAGATTTTTGAAGTTTGAGGGTTGCTGCTGGGTATCACGCCGGGCGCAGTTCTTCGCGCCAGGCGCGTGACCATCAGAGGGCCCCATTGGGCAAGCCCCCGGGCGCAGTGGTGTATGCGCCGGGCGAGCTTGAGGGTGTGAGCCTCTGGATGGCCCCCCCGCCGGGCGTGGTTGGACCGTGCTGGGAGCGGTATCAGTAAGTGACATTGTTTGGGGATTTCTGGTGTGGCGCTGGCCGTGACCTTGTCTCGCCGGGCGTGGAGACTCCTTGGGAGTCTCTACCAGAGGTGGCGCCAGGCGCAATTTATATTGCGTCGAGCGTGAGACTTTGGGGAAGTCTTTGCTTACCCTGCACCGAGCGAGGGTTTGCATGTCGGGCGTGTGAGACCCTCTGAGGTCTCTGCCTCCTAGCACACCGGGCGCAATGGGAATTGCGCCAGGCGCGCTGAGCCCTGGTGCTCTCTAATTGTGCCGCGCCGGGCGCGACCATGAGCGCGCCGGGCGCAGACATGATATTTGATGTTAAGTTGTTATTTATAGAAATTTGCTGATAGATATGCTGAGCTGAGCTGTAGTTGTTAAATATTGCTGTGCTGACTAGTTGATAACGCTGAATTATGTTGTTGAGCTGAAATTGATGAATATGTCGTGTTGTTAGATGTTATTGCTGATTAAGGATGTTTAGGCCGTGCTGTGAGCTGTGTTTAGATGTTAAGCTGAGTTGTGCTGTATGCTGATATTGCTGTGCTGTAAGTTGTTTAGCTGAGTTGTAAGCTGCTAATTGTTGTATGCTGATATTGTTGTGTTGTAAGTTGTTTAGTTGAGCTGTAAGCTGCTAATTGTTGTATGCTGATATTGTTGTGCTGTAAGTTGTTTAGTTGTGCTGGATGCTGATATTGTTGTGCTGTGTTGAGCTGTATGCTGTTATTGCCGCTAAGTCGGTGCTGTTATTGCCGCTAAGTCGGTGTTGTTATTGCCGCTAAGTCGGTGCTATTGTAGCCGCTAAGTCGGTGCTGTTGTAGCCGCTATGTCGGTGCTGTTATTACTGCTATGCAGTGCTGTGCTCCGTGCTGATAGGAGTTGTTGTAGGCCGTAAGGCTGAGCTGTTGTAGGAGATCTCCGAGCTGATATGCGTGACGATACA